TTTTTTTTTTTTAAAGAATGAATAAATACCGAACCCAAGAAGGGTTGCCTACGTATCTCATCAAAATGAGAATCAGGTTCGCGTAGTTCATTTAGATGACCCTAAAAAATGCACAAATCATTTTATTTTATTTTTATTTTAAAAAAAAAAATGAAAAAGTGAATACCGAACCCAAAATGGGTTGCCTACGTATCTCATGAAAATGAAAATTAGGTACGCGTAGTTCGTGCAGATAGGGTATAAAATTATTCAAAAATTTAAACCAACTTAGAGTGATAACTTGTAAATATAGGGCCGTTGAAATCTTTAGTCAGAGAGTGTCTTCTGACTGTTTCCACCAATATGTTTTGCGTCCTCTTAACTGTTGATCTTTATACTGTTTGTTAAATGTGACCTCCGAATTTCTACAATAACCACTTGTTGTATTCTCTTTTGGATGTCTCTTCAAATTGTGTATACTCCCAATGATTCCTAAGAACTATACGTTATTATCACCATCCCCGACTGTTGTCGGGGACGGTTTCCCTGCAAAATATGAGAAATATGTGAAAGCAGGGCCAACATGAAAAATAACAAAAATAAAATAAAAAATGAGTGTGACCTTATAGTCAAAGACTCCCCTGATTTATCTTTTTGACTGAATATTAATGTCTTGTGAGATATAAACACTTGAACTTCGCGAATTCTCTTGTCCCTTGCAATTCTGGACGAACAATGACTTCTAAATTCTCTTTAGATCAATTTCTCGCTTAAAAATAAGATAAACTCAAAAGATAAAAGTGTTAATTTATATTCATAATGAATAATGCAAAATATCACAAATAAATAAATAAATATAAAATTAATTAAACACATAAGCACTATTTTGATTGAAACAAACTCAATTATATCACATAGCATATAAACAATTAATGCGCATCCTATACAAATATGTGACCCTTTTCTATCAAAGATAGGCCTACCGATCTGAAGAATGTATAACACCATTTGACAAAATTCTATTATCCCCAAAAAATTAAAATCTATACAAACATCATAAATAAATTGAATGGGTATACATAATAGGAAAAAAAAGATACAAATAATCGGTCTCACACAGGGGTACAATCATATACTAAGCATCCATCTCTAAATGTAAACGTCTTCAGATGCAATTGTAATTTTATCCTAATTTGACTCAAACAAACTCTTAAACTCCTTACTCGAAGGGACATTGTTTTGCGAAATGACGTAAACATCCAACAAATTTAACACATAAATATGATTGTCTTTTATTGACCAATTGGCCAAATAGACACGAGGTAGACTTCTAATGGGCCCAACACGCCTTGGGTGTTAGGTCGACTTAGTTCAAAATGCGCTAGAAATCGGGATTTGGTTTTGCTCTACGCTAGTTGACTAAGAGTGGCTTTTGAAAGACCGGAAACCCAAGTGGACAACTTAGGCTGGAATTCACAACAACCATTGGACGCATGACGTACCAATAAATCGCCGATCCTTCCGGAAAAGGGTTGAGTATAAAAAAGTCCGACTGCGGTTCCGCAAAACCGTAATTTTTGATGATTTTTCGATTTTGAAGATGTCTCGGTGCTTCCAGTATCCACCGCCTGGTTATTCTCCGAATACAACAAGCAATTATGCCTTGATCGAATCGATTAAGGTAGATTTTTGCTCTATGTATCGGCTGATAGTCAATTTTGAAAACTCAGAATGAAATCTTGTTAATCTGATTCGTACATAGAGCGGATTTAACCTTTGTTGATGTTTGATATTTCAATTGAGGATCTTTGAAATGAAGGATTTTGTAGATTTTTACGGGTATGATTTTCTGTTGAGAATTTGGAATTTTTCTGCTGATGATTTGTTAATACGTAGCATTAAAGGACGATTTATGTAGAATTTTGGAATTTTTAAGTGATTAGTTGGTTAGGATTTATGATTAGTGTTAATTTGAGCCTAGTTTTTATGAGGTTTGGACTAGTAGGTAGTGTTCAACTGTAATGTGCTTATGACAATTAACATTTGGAAGATACTTTGCTAAAAAATTTAAATGAATAGGATTGTAATTCAATTGATCCGAGAAGAGTGGAATGAATTTCGAGATTGATATTAGCAGACCATAACTATTTGGGATTGAGCATAGTTGATTTGATTTGGTGAGTGAATAATTGTTGTTTGGGGAATCGAGAGTATCGTAGCTGAGAGAGAGAGAGAGAATATTAGCCTTTTTCCCACCCGAGTCATTTGTCATACCACAAAGCTCATAGTAGCCTTTTTCCACCTTAAGAGAATATTTGTTAAGTTATTATCCTTTAGCAAGCAGCGATAACTTTATTGAAGCAAAAGCTTTCATTGATTTTGTTTTACACAATTTTATTGTGCTTCCCGTGGTTGGTCATTTAAGGTGTCCACGAAGATACTGTTATCCATTTTTACTTGCTTAACAAGTAAATGCTTTTCTTTAACTCGCGCGTGGGTTGGGTGTGGGAGCGTTTTTCACATGACACTTTGTACTAGAACTAATTATGTCTACTTCTTCGTGTAGTTTTAGGGGCCAGGTTGTGTAAAAAATTAGTTGACTTGAGCATGATTTAATCATTTAGGTGCACTTAAGAGCAGTAGGTTCCTTGTGTGAAACTGAGATGTTGAAGCATGCACCTCAATCACCCTGCCTGTGTGAATTGAACGAACTTCTAAATACAACCAGCTTAAGCTGGTTTTCCACCGACTTTTTAGTATTCGGCCATTATGTTGTTGTGAACTTGAGAACTTAACATGTTGGATGCTAAGCCTGAACCCCTCTAAAAGGAAGAAGCGACTAATTCTTGGCATATATTTGAGGAACGTAATGTTCATGCTATACTGGTTATGTATTGTCCCTCTAATATGAACTTGTTGTTCTGGTGCTCTAAAGCTCCAGAGGTACGAGGAAAGAGTCAAATTGGAAAGGAAGAAAGAAAAGAGAAGGAAGAAGAAAGAGAGATTCAGAAAGAAGGAAAAAAAGGCGAAGCAAGTATCAACTTCAAGTTGTTTTCAAACTGGTGATTTGATTTCTAGAGGAGATAATAGAGAGTCAAAAACTAAGTACTTGCAGAAAGATATTGAGGATGAAATTGTTGAGCGGTTGGAGAACAGTAGTCTATCCGAGGAACACAGCCAGCCTGTCTGCTCACAAGATCCAAACTACTCATCTGACGGCACCCAAAATAACAACAAAAGAAAGAGATCTACCTCATCTTCAAATGGAATACATGACCATGGTGAGTTATATTCTGTTTTCAACATACTAATGTTTGTTTTTTTGAGTGTGTTTGTTGGTGCTTGCCTTTACATTTCCTTGCTTGACAAATAGGTCCTAATGTCCGCATTCGAATGTCCTCACATAATCATGGACAATGTGATATATCTATCAAAGAAGACTGTTTCAAAGAATCTGCTAACTACGAGGTAGAAAGAGCCTCTCCCTTGTCGAAAACCAATCAGCAATTGTCCCCTTTCATGTCAGAGGACAAGACAACAACTGTTTCTTGCTCCAAATTGCGCGAGAATGATTTAGAACTAGAGTTCAAGAATTTGATTATTAACTGTGTTCCACCAAGTCCCCGTTATTATGAGTTTGATGATCAAGATTGGCTGTTCCGGAGAAAGCATGAGCAGATGAGAGTGAAGGAAAAAGGCGAAGTTAGCAACGACATGCCTTGTGGCACCTCTGCGTTGTTACCGCGTGCGCAATACCTAGATGATGCTGAACTATATGCATTCCCTTTCACAGTTCCTTTTTGAGTTGCTTGTAGTAAATTAACCAGGGAACTTTTAGCTCTTTCTCTGGAAAGCTTATAGGTGGAATACCTAGTTGATTGGTACAGTGAATTTACCATTTTACTTCAATAATTAATAGTCTTAAAAATGGATTTAAGGCGGACACAATCATTAGTATTCTGAATTAATGATCTTTAACCGTCATTAGTATTTTGAATTATTAGTATTTCAGGTAGAGACAAAAAATAGTAGGTGATTCTTTTCATCTGTCTTAGCCTTAATGAACAGAATTATCGAAGTGCGCAAAAATTGATCCGGACGTTCCTAATTTTTTTTAAAAAAAACACAACACAAAATTGTTGTGAAAGGCCAAACTGGATATGCTTTATCTTTCAATTATTCATATGGTCCATGATACTATACACTTTAGGGAAAAGATGTAGCAATTTTTTTTGTAATTAAAAGTTGTATATATAGTAATAAAAAGGAACAACAGACGTATAGAGTAACTCTAAGTTCAAGTTTGATGGTCCAATGCGATATATAACATATTCACTGCAAAATTGAAGACCTCACTTTCTATATATTTAATTTAATACTAGTAATACCTAAGGTGACTAACTCGATGAATAGACAAATAAAGTATCTCGTTTTTTTAATATGTAATTATTATGGTGTTTTAGTGTCCGACCTTAACCAATCGCTATGGTACATCTGATTTACTGTATCAGTTAAAAAATCGTAAAAGAATTGTATTAGCCTCTTTCTTCTTAAGGTAAGATAAAGGGTCAGACATGATGGGGTAGGAGAATCCAGTCGCCTATCTAGGTAAGATAAAAGGTCAGACATAGTGGGGTAGAAGCATCTAGTCGGCAATTTTTTTGGCTTGACCAAGAAGTCTTATCTCTTCTGAATCGCACAACATTTTAACCTAAAGAACTTATCTTTTGGGCTTGACCAAGAAGTCGTATATCCTCCGAGTTACAGGATATTTTCGCTCCTATATTTAAGGATCTAAATAGTAGTTGAAATCCTCATAAAAAGGAAGGATAATACTGAAAAGATTTTTAAAAAATCTAAAAAGAATTAATTCATTTTTAAACTGAAAAAATCCATTCATTTTTAACCTATTTTGAATGAAATCCTCTTTCATCAAACAAATGTAATTTCTCCTAAATAGACTAAACTAATAATTGAATATAAAACTCACTAATTCGAAAAATAATTTTTTTCGGAGTGATACGGGTTTTGGGTAAAACCCACCCGGGTCGTTGAGTTGTCAGGTAATCAAAATCGCGTTTGTCACCCAAACTGAACACGAACAACAACAAAGAAGAAGAAGACGAAGAACAGAAAAAGCAAAAAAAATGTTAGCAACAGAAGGCATGGAAGATGAAGAGAAATGGCTAGCAGAAGGAATCGCAGCTATTCAACACAACGCATTTTACATGTCTCGTGCATTGGTAACAATTTTCTTCTTGTTCAAAATCAAATTTCATTGAATTTGAATCCAAAAACCCTAAACTTTTCATTTTTTTTTTTATAATTAGCGCTTTTGATTTAATTTTTCAGGATTCGGATAATCTCAGAGAAGCGTTGAAGTATTCTGCTTTGTTGCTGTCTGAGCTTCGGACTTCAAAACTTTCGCCGCACAAATACTACGAGCTTTGTAAATTTTCTAGTCAACATATGTTCTTTGCTTAACCTTTTCTAATTCCAGTTTGTTAGAAAGTTTTTGCTTGTGAAAAATCAATTTGACTAACTTTTGAGCTAAATCCGATCATATTAAATCATTTTTTATTGATTTTGTTGATTTGTACTCTTTCATTGTAATTTGTTTGGCAGCTTTGCTTATGGAGAGTCAAATTTACTAACTTTCTAGCTAAATAGGACTAACTACTAGAGAAGTACGATAAGTTGCACTTACTTTACCAATGTTAAAAAAAAAGTACGATAAGTTGCACTTTTATGAAAGTTAATTTGATCAACTTTCGAGCTAAATCAGATCATATTAATTCTTTTTTTTTGTTGCTGATTTTATTGATTTGTACTCTTTCATGCTAATTTGTTTGGAGTTTTGCTTATTGAGAGTTAAATTTACCAACTTTCTAGCTAAATAGGACTATAGTAATTCAGTTTTTAAAAATTAAATTTTAGATTTTTGAAGCCAAATTGGTCTAAGTTTATTCATTTAAAAAAAAAATTATTTTAATTTAAATATCCGGAAACTACTCGAGAAGTACGATAAGTTGCATTTTTCACTTATGAAAGTTAGTTTGACTAACTTACGGAGGTAGATTGGACTGGATTAGTTCATTTCTGTTGAAAATAAATAAAAACTTTGATATTTTGGTACTATAAGAAAAGTTGCTTTAAGTTGCATTTCTCCCCGTATCAAGATGGTGAGAAAACTGAAATGTCGGTTAGTTTACGCCTTTACGTAGTTTAAATGTCGGAAAGCAAGATGTGCCAAACATCTTGGAACAGAGGAAGTATCTTTGTTTGTTATGTCATCATTTGTTCTCAGGTTTTTGTGCTCTTTGTGGTAGATATGCGAGCATTTGATGAATTGAGGAAGTTGGAGATGTTCTTCAGAGAAGAAGATAGACATGGTTGTTCAGTTATTGACTTATATGAACTTGTTCAACATGCTGGAAATATATTGCCTCGATTGTAAGTCTCAAATGAAGTTCATGTGTTAAAATTCTCAGTTGTTAGGCTTCGTTGTGTGCTAATTGGCTACTTATATTGTTTAGTAATTACTAGTATCTTAGAATCAAGCAAATTAGTGAACGTAGTTAAGAAGTAAATTTGGTTATCCAAATATGATTTTTATGCTCCACTTGAAATTTCATGGGATAACTTCAAATTTGTTCTTCTTTCATGTGTTTTTCTCTTTGTTGGTGTACTTAGTGTTATTGAGAATGTTCAGTTTCTCATAGAGTTGATGGCCCCCAGGGGGTAATTTCAAAAGCCAAAAACTGGCCAAAACTTTACAATTGAGCTTTAAAATTCACTAAGTTATCTACCTCCCCCACCAAATCCTGTTTACACCAAAAATACAGCAGGCTCAAGCTATTCATCTTGATTTTCTGAGTGCTGTTAAGTTTCCCATCATGTGACCTTTCATTTCTTTCCTTCCACAATGTCCACCAGATCAGGCTGGGATGCATTTCCACCAGTCCTCTTTGGATCTTCTTCTTCTGCCCACTTCTTCCCACTGTCTCAACAACTCTAAAGTAGCTTGGGCATTACCCAGTTAACTCCAAGTATACATAAGAACATGTTCCACAGATTTGCAGCTGTTCTGCAGTGTAAGAATAAGTGACTATTAACTTCTGCCTCTTCCCCACACATGAAACACCTTGAGCAAATCTGTATACCTCTTCTTTGTAACACTTCATGAGTTAGACATGCTTCCCTAATTGCCAACCAAATAAAACCTGAGACATTGTGAGGAATCTTGATTTTCCAGATTAGTTTCCAAGGCCATTCCATTTCCATAGCCTGATTAGAGTTTAAGCTCCAGTAACAAGACTTCACAGAAAAAATCCCTTTCTTGTGCATTTTCCAGATTGGAGTATCAGGACTTTCAGTGACACCTGGAAATGCATTTAGTGTGTGTAATAATCCTGCTGCTCTATCAACCTCCCAGTCATTATAGCCCTCCTAAAGATCAAATCCCAACCTTGAGGGCTCCACACTTGTGCCACAGTGTCCATTTGTTGTAGGCTCAATATATAAAGATCTGGGTACATGATCTTCAAATTCTCTTCCCCTAACCAAAGTTCATTCCAGAAACTGATTTTCACCCCATTCCCAATCCTAAAGGATAGATTGGGGATAAAGGATGGCCACAATCTTCTGATTGTCTTCCAGACTGAGCATCCAAAGGTACCATTTGCTTCTTCAGTGATCCAATTGTTTTGGAGACCATGTTTTTGTGATATGAATCTCCTCCACAAAGCCATATCTTCACTACAGAACCTCCATAGCCATTTCTTCAACAAGCTGACATTTTGCATATTCAACTTCTTTATACCCAAACCACCTTGCATTTTGTTGAGTGTCACTACATCCCATTTAACCAGAGAAGTTGTGAGGCAACATTCTTAAGTACCTTTAGTTCCCATGAAAGAGTGTCCTTAATGCAAGTAGCGAAAACTGAGTCTATTGCATGCATAGATGACAGAAAAGTATGCACTCGAGAGAAACCTTAACAAAAAAAAAGTACCAAAACCGGAGAATAAAAAAGATAGGTCTTAATCTTCTCGAAAGCACTCTGCATGGTCAGTCTAGGGGATTGTAAACTTCTAGCAAAACTTCTGTTTTTGGAGTCGAGTAATAGCTGCTCGATTTTGCTTCTTTACTGTTTCATGTGTATTATTGTCGTCTCCGTTTCTCGTAAGCCCTTGCTGTTCCTGAAGAATCAGATATCTGATGGATGTTTATCATGTAATATTTCAGGTATCTCCTATGTACAGTAGGATCTGTTTACATAAAATCAAAAGAGGCTCCTGCTAAGGATATTCTCAAGGATCTTGTTGAAATGTGTCGTGGTATTCAGCATCCTACACGTGGGCTCTTCTTGAGGAGTTATCTTGCACAAATTAGCAGAGATAAATTGCCTGACCTTGGTTCTGAGTATGAAGGGTAAAGCTATTGATTACTACTTGAATTACGTGATGATTAAGTTGCACTTATATCACATCAGTTCTGCATAAGTACATTTTTATTCACTTGCTTGAAACACATACACAAAGAGCTGCACACACATTAGTTATTATATGTTTTGATGTACCTATTTAAGTATACAGGGAGACCCAATGTGTTGTTTCCATCTGTAGATTCCCGTCTTTTGTTCAATTAAGTATTTTCTTTCATTTTCTAGCTTGACCTAGGGGGATGATCTTCTGAGATGCTTCACCCTGTTCTTTATGCAGAGAAGGTGATACTGTCATGGATGCTGTAGATTTTGTGCTGCAGAACTTCACAGAGATGAATAAGCTTTGGGTTAGAATGCAGCATAATGTACGTTAGGATCTTCTGAACTTTTACTTTGCTTTTACTTTGCACTTGCATGGCATCTGTGCATTTGCATGCCAGGAAGGTAAAATGAGTCATGAAGGCATGTTTTGGCCATGCAGGTGTTATAGTGCTTGTGATACATTCATTTGCTTTGGTGATCCTGAGTTGAGGCATTC